ACGTCCCAAAGCGCTTCACAGAATATACTGTAAAGTGAATTGACTGTATATTTGTGGGCAAATGTTGCCAGATTATTTGGATTGCTTTCAAAAGTGATTAAGGCATTTCTTTGCAGTCCCATCTGTCTGTTCAGGTGGACATTAAAGGTTGCAGGACACCATTCCAAACAAAAAAGGGGGTTTCTTCCTGTCTCCTGGAAATCCTCCAGATAATTTGTTCAGTTGCCAACAAGTACAAGGTCACTTTTGACAGCGGTTACCTAGGAAGACATTGAGACATTTCAACATATATAGGTGCTGTATCAAATGCAGGTGTTATTATTTATCACAAAATATTCTGAAAGGGTGATGAGTGTTTGAGATGTGGATCTCCATGAATAGTTGGCTTATGTATATGAAACTCTCAGTCTGGCTGGGATTATTAAGTAATGAGTTTCTGTGTGTGCCAGACACTTCTCTGAACAAAATAAAAGCCTGGTGTAAAACTCCAGTCTGATTCACACTGCCACAACCCCCAGTTGTCCTGCACATTGGCTACAAATCACCACCAAATCCATAGCAATTCATCACCAAACAGCAGTTTAAGTGTCTAGGACCCAAAATAAAGCTCCTGATAAACCTTGGCATCTTTATAAGATTGTATTGGCATTAGTGCCACTGGCTGTGCAGACTTCCAATTTAATCAACACAAGAGATATTTTCATTTGACTTTTAAATCAACAACTGGTTTAGTTTAATGTCACAGTCAAATGGGGCAGAGTAGATACATCTTCACTGAACATGAACTGTTCAGTCAATGTGGTTCACTTAGCCAGTGGATTGATCATCATTTCCATTTTTGGCCCCTTGTTTCTATGGAATTATTTTGGATACTTCAGGCAATCCATCATTGAGGAAATAACTCTGCAAACCATGCACAAGACTCAAGGAATAGAAAATATAAAAAAGTAATGTCGTAGCTCATAAAGCTAGGCAGACAGTTAGCAATATGATAAGACCGAGAATGTTGGAAATTGGAAATCCATTGAGGGCTGCTTTGCAGACAACATGTTGTCATATTCGTTCCTTCAACTTCACCTGGTATTTGGGGTAATATAAATCATTTTATTTGTTTGTTCATTTTCTTCATTATTTCTGTCCAATTCCTGTCTCAAGGACAGGATTTAGGCCAACACACAGACAAGTACACATGGATGCCCCTGCTCTGAGTGCTTACGCTAAGGGAGAGAAAAAGTACCCAGCATTTGCAGTCCTGAGACCTGAAATTCCACCTAGTCTTAACACAGAGTTGTGGAAAAGCCTTGAAATTACAATACAATTTGGAAGCCGGGTTTCCAAGGTATTTAAAAAGAACTGGCTTCCAATTTAAGAATGAAATCCCACAATTGGGTGTAATCCTAAATTGTGCAGAACAATTTACAAAAAAGTACAACAATGTTTATACTGTAAATGGAATTTGGCTTCTCAGATGTATTGATATTGTATGAGCACTGCTCCTGGCTTGGCCATGTTAACCATCACAATCAATTTCCACCACTCTCCTAAAGATGCTGACCTGTGTTGGAGTTTGTTTACACAGACTCTGGCCATGAAAGCCCAACCGACATGCATTTTTTCACCCCACTTCCACCAGTGTACATTTTTCAGCAAAAGTTACTAGATAGAGAACAACAGTTGAAATCCTGGCTGAACTTCTCTATCCCTAGAAAGGTGAGCCTAATAGTAGCATGCCATTTGAAGTCAACTGTGATCTGTCAAGCCAATCTGTGATCTTTTGTATCAATGGTTTGGTATAACCCTTGTAACGTTTGGTATAATACATTACCCAGTAAGTTATTGGTGGTGTTCTTACTTGCTATTTTAATGTCCATATACCTTAGTGAATGATTCCAACACAACAATAATAATAATTATTATTATTAATAATAATTTGACGTTGCGATTTTCTCATCAGTAGGATGTCTCAAAACACTTCACATTGTAAAGTGTAGTCAATATATTCTGCAGGTGAATACGGGAGCTAATTTGTGCACAGCAATTTCCTGCAAACGAAAAGTGAATGACCAATTTTATGTGGCAAGTTACTGGCCAGGATATCAGGAGAAACTCTCTACACCCTTTAAGAGGTTGTTCCTAAAATGTAGTATTTCCCTTTGCAATGTGCTGTATTTTTGAAGTGCAATTGGGACAAAGATTGAAATCTGTAATGGTTTAATTGACCAATACGTGCAAATTCTGCCCTGTCAATACTGAAAAACATTGACCAAGCCAGGGTTTACCATACATTGAACCTGCTTGTAGCTCATAGTACTAGAGTGGTACTTAGTGGGATAGCAGATTTACTTTTATTTTATTTTTGAATTAAGAAGCTGGTATGAAGATTTTCGCCGAAGTCCCTCTCCTCTGCCCTGGATTCTTCTGAACTCCTCTCCCTCTGGCCCACCTCTCGCACCAACCCACTCGCTGCACTTACCCTTCTCCACAGCCCCCTCTCCACCACATTCAACGTCTTTGCCCCCCTCACCTCCCGAATTGCCTCTTATTTCTGAACCTCACCCTGGTTCACCAGCCACCTCTGCTTGCTCAAGGGCCAGGTGCGGGCTGCTGAACGCACTAGGCTCAACTCTGGCCTAACGGTCCACCACCACATCTGGCTGGACCTCATCAAGAACTACCACTCCGCTCTCGCTTCAGCCAAATCATCCTTCTATTCCAGGTTAATCCTGGAGACGAAAGGCAACGCCCGGCTCCTGTTCTCCACCACCAACCACCTCCTCCGCTCTCCCCGCCACACCTCGCAGATTCTATCCTCTGACTCTCACTGCGAGAAAATGCTGGACTTCCTTGCGTCCAAAATCAAGTGAATCCGCACAGCTGCCACTGCCCCTCCAACTTCCACCCCCTCCCTACCCCCACCCCACACTCCGACAATTACCCACCCCTCCTTCCACACCTTCGAATCTGTCAACCCCTCCTCTGTCTTCACCACCATATCCTCCATGAAGCCCACCACCTGCTCCCTGGACCCCATCCCCACCCCTCTCCTTAAATCCCAGCTCCACCTCCTTGCCCCACTTCTCGCTGACATCATCAACCTCTCCTTGTCATCTGGCACTGATCCTTCCCCGCTCAAAACAGCCATTATCACCCCCACCTTGAAGAAAACTTCCCTTGACCCATCACAGCTATCCAGCTACCGGTCCATCTCAAACCTCCCTTTCCTAAACAAGGTCCTTAAGAGAACCATTGCCTCCCAGCTTCGCTCTTTCCTCTCCTCCCACTTCCTCCATGAACCCTTCCACGGAAACTGCTCTTGTCAAGGTCACAAATAACATCCTGACCATGTGTGACCAGGGCTCCCTCTGTCTCCTCGTCCTCCTTGACCTCTCCACTGCCTTTGACACCGTAGACCAATCAATCCTCTTCCACCGCCTCTCCTCCCACCTCAACCTTCAAGGTTCTGTCCTTGACTGGTTCAGGTCCTACCTTTCACACCGCCTCCACTTCGTCACGGCAAACAGCATCTCCTCCAGCCCCCGCACTGTCTCGTGTGGTGTTCCTCAGGGCTCTGTCCTTGGTCCCTTCCTCTTCACCCTCTACATGCTCCCCCTTGGTGACATCATCCGCAGACATGGGGTAAAGTTCCACATGTATGTGGATGACACCCAACTCTATCTCTCTGCCTCCAGCCTCAACTCCAGGACTAGTGGCGTCCTGACCAACTGCCTGTCCGACATCAAGTCCTGGAAGGGACAACTTTCTCCAACTCAACGTCAGCAAGACCGAGGCCCTCCTGATTGGCTCACGCCAATCTGCACCTCGGGCACTGGCAGCATTAGCCTCCACAGCTGCACACTCAACCTCACTGAGCCAGTCAGGAAACTGGGTATCTTGTCTGACCCTGAACTGTCCTTTCTCCCCCACATCCGCGCCATGACCGGCACTGCTTACCACCACCTCCGCAACATTACGAGATTCTGCCACTGCCTCACCCCTCAGGCTGCCGAAACCCTCACCTACGCATTCGTCACCTCAAGGCTCGATTACGGAACTCCCTCCTCATCGGCCTTCCCAACTCTTCCCTTCACAAGCTGCAGGTCATCCAAAACTCTGCAGCTTGCGTACTCTCGCGCACCAGGCTCCGTGACCCCATCACTCCCGCCCGACTCCACTGGCTCCCCATCCCCTGAAGATCGAGTTGAACAACAACAACAACAAGATTATATTTGTATAGCGCTTTTCAAGTCGGGAGAACATCCCAAAGCGCTGGACAGTGTACAGCATTTCAGACCCGAGCTGGGGTCAGGGCGGGAGAAGGGAGGGGAGGGAAAGGGTGATGGCATGGTCGAAGAGGAGAGTTTTGAGGTGGGACTTGAAGGAGGCTAAGAGTTCAAGATTCTCATCCTCACTTTCAAGGCCATCCATGGCCTTGCCCCCTTCTATCTCTCTGATCTGCTGACTTCCTACCTACCTGCCCTCTTCCTCCGTTCAGTGGGCTCCGATCTGCTCCATGTCTCCCGCCCGACCCGCCCTACCATCGGTGGCCAGGCTTTCAGCCTCTCTGCCCCCACACTCTGGAACTGCATCCCACGGTCCCTTCACCTCGCTTCCTCCCTTGCCTCCTTCAAGGCCGGTCTCAAGACCTTTCTCTTCAACCGTGCCTTTGGTCGCCCTCCCACCTCTCCACCTTCCCTACCCCTCCCCCACCCCTCCCCCATGTTCAGGCCCCAACACCTGACTGTTCAGCTCTTTGGGACGTCCTCCTGACTTGAAAGGTGCTCTATAAATGTAATTTTGTTGCTGTATGTTGCTCCAATAAGCTCCAATTCACAGTCTGTGACGTGCTGGAATTTTAATGCAACAATAATGACTGATTCGGGATCAGTCAGTATCTTTAGTTAGCAGCAGGGTGGAATTTTCCAACATGGGTTAATTAACCCATTTAGGGTTGTCATTTTTACTGCACTGTTTCCACTTCTTGTCATTTTGCTTCATGCCAGTTGTGATGAACATCTCTCTGACGTGCACCATTTCAGCTGCCAAAACAATGAAGCTGCTTGCAGAGATGGAAGATGCCCTGCTAAGGAACCTGTTTCGAGGATATCAGAAGTGGGTGAGACCAGTGCAAAACTGCAATGACACAATAACAGTGAAGTTCGGACTTGAAATCTCCCAGCTGGTGGATGTGGTAAGTTTTGTCTGTGTACCATTATTTTAGGAAAGTGTACACATGGAAACTTTAAACTAAATGCTCTGAGAGATAAGTAAAAGCATTGACCTTCATCCCATTAGAGCCAAAGAACAAATAAGTGAATATTAAAATCTGAATTCATACAAAAAAATTTTTTACGTACTTTACCTGTCCTCATTCATGCTTCAGTTCTCTCTTCTTCTCGACCTTTATTATTTTTTAATTTTTATTTAATTTCACTTCTCAATTTCTTCTCTTCCAGTTTTATTTAATCTTTTTTTCTCCATAAATTTACCTTTTAAATTTCTGGTTCCTTACTTTTTTCGGCTTCCACATTCCATTTCAATTATGGGGCAAAGTATTTCAAACCAGAATTGGATCTCCTCTTCTCTCACACAATTAAAAACATTTTCTTAACCTCTTGTGTTAAAAAGTATATTGTAATATTATATATGCATCGGCTTCTGCAAACAGGCTGTGAAACTATCAACCAGCATAGAGTTATTGCTAGTTTCTATGTTTGCTCCCCACCAGAGAAGTGGGGGGAGAGAAAAGGGATATAGAAACTAATTTGAAGAGGCAATTTGTGACATAGAGAGTATCTGCTTTTTTTCCTGAGGAAGAAATGCTGATGCAGCTATTCTCTAGAATGACTTCTCTTTGAAGTTGAGAATAGCAGATGAAAGAGCAACTATCACTAATAGTCGCCTGGAGGTTAAGAGCAGACTCCTCCATGAGAAGTGCTCTCAAGGCCAATGATGTGAGTCAGAATAGATAATCTCTCTGTGATAACCACAGAGAAAAACCCTCCTGGAGGTGGGGGAAGGAGGGAGACGGTGGTAAGCAGGATCTCCTTGGAGCTGAACTGGCTACAAGGTGACATGTTTGGCAATGGAATGTCAGAATCGAGTCAACCCTCTGTGGCAATCTCAGTCGTTCCAGTTCCCGAGCAAGGTCCATTTTGTCACAAAATGTAAGATTACACAGAATTGTAAAAAAAGAACCTTAAAATACAACCTTAATTTAAGAGCAGGCATCCAAATTAAGCCTAAATTTAAGCATTTTCCACCATTCGACACAATTTTAAATTTTAAGAGAAAATGGTCATTCAGATTTAGCCCAGGTGGAATTTCAAGCCTCTGATCTCTAATCTTACTTGTGTATATTTCATTTAAACCTGTGATCTCTACTTCTGCCCTCATAATCTATGGCAAATAGTCTTTTTGTATAATAATTTCTATAGGCATTTTAAACAGATTAGTTTTCCTCTCCTAGATTAGTTTCCCCATCAATCTTTTCCCCAGTGTCAGATAAAGTTAGGGCAATTGGTCCCATGAATCAGGGTGATGTATCAAAAAATGTTCCATTGGAAATATAAGGCCCCAAATTCCACCTGAACTATTTTATTTTAAAATTTGGGATGTTTTTTTTACTTTGGTAATTGATTTTTAAGATCTGTGAAAAACTAGCATCCCAAATCATTTGGAATTTAAAAAATGTTTCATAATTCTGCATGATCTTACATTTTAAGGCAAAATAGTTGTACAGATGGAATATCTAGTCTTTAGAGTTGTTATTAAGGAATCATTTTTATGAATCTTGCAATATAAGTCCCAATATATTTTATATGATTACTTTGAGATGGATGGGCTAGATGGTACAATGGTCTGCACATCCCAGGAACTGGCTATCATTATGTTATGAATATCACATCCCTGAGAAGAACTCAACTGTTTTGTGAAAGGTTACTGCCAAATTCCCTGAGCCCAAGCTGCTGCACAGAGAGAACCTCAGAAGAAGGCGAGGGAGACGGACTGTCAGTAAATTCAAGCGAAAATTAGATAATTATTTCGAGAGAAATAAAATTGTTTTAAGGCGTTTGAACAATTTCACATTGTTTGACGGTTCACTATTATTGTTTTGGTCGGTCAGTTGATCATTCCCTCTCTCCCTTTTTACATTGGGACCAGTACGTTTGACCACAGTGGTCTTTTGTGATCCTGTATGTTCCTATGTTCCAATGTGTTTTTCTGCCTCAGGTTTTCTACCCAAGTCACATTGCTTGATTTTAGAGAGTTTTGAAAAATGTTAATAATAATCCTATCATCTTTGCATTTGATACAGCGCTTTTCACGTCGGGAGGACGTCCCAAAGCGCTTCACAGAACACACTGTAAAGTGAATTGACTGTATATTTGTGGGCGAACGCGGCAGCCAATTGCGCACAGCAATGTCCCACAAACAGTCGTAGATTGAAAATGACCAATTTATTATTGTTTTTGGTTTTGGAGGGATTATTATTAGGTGTGTGGAGTAAGGAAACTTTCCCAAGGTTTCGTCCTGTGCCTGGAATTGAACTCAAGTCTCTCACTTGCAAAGCGAGTGCTCTAACCACTGAGCTACAGGACTCCGGTGTTAAGCTGGTGCTGCATCCATAATGAATCTTTTACATTGCAGGATGAAAAGAATCAGTTGATGACTACAAATGTTTGGCTAAAGCAGGTGAGAACATCTTGTCACAGTCGATGCAAGCAGCAAGTTAGTGCTGCCACTTCTGGACAATTAGGTGGGATTCAGTGCGGGTTAATTCATATTGTCAGGCTGTAGGATAAGGAAATGTAAGTATGAACACAGTGAACAAATGACGACAGTCAGGTCAAGCTCCCATTGGTAAATATATCACTCGGTACAGATATTAACAAACCAGGTAGATCCCAAAGTTGATCCCTGTTCTTGGCTGATCTTATCCAGGATCACAGCAGATGTGCCTGAGTTGGCCCTACAACTCCTGACTAGGAGAAGGAAATTCAGCCAATGTTCCTGTCCATGATCAGCATCCAGTAATCCCTACTAAACATGGAAAGTACCAACAAAAAAAAGTGGAAATCTCACAATAGAGATGTAACACAAAGATTTCTATTGTGATCAGTGCGTGTTTGATGCTTCTGTCAACTTATAGAATGATCACTTGGGAAAGGTAGAAGACGACACCTGATAACTGTAGAGCTGCAGCAAGGTACAAGTCAGCCACTTCAAGAGTGGAGAGGGGAGACCCGGGGAGAAAGAAATGAAAATCAAGTTCCCCAGCTCAGATCTCAAAGGCACTTTACAGTCCATTTTTGGTTTTAATACTTTGTTTATATTGACCTGTGCAATGGATGTGCAGTTTATATAATATTTTTGCGTATAACTCATGATATTATTCTGTGCATTAGATGTTTATAGCTTATATAGTATTTTGCATATAAATGGGGACATTAACTTGTGAATGGATGTGTGGTTAAATGGAATATTTTGCATATGGCTTGTTGAATAAGCTTCTGTATTAAATTTGTGGTTTATATAGTTTATATAGTATGTAGATTAATACTTGGCATATTAATCTGTGCCCTAAATGTAGGGTTTTATATTTTTCGGAATTAATTTCTCAACTTAGAATGGTCACAAGAGTTCTGTGTCATTTGGTCTTTGCCCCTCGTGCTGTAACTGGATTTATTATTTTGAATTGCAGGAGTGGAATGATTATAAGCTGGCATGGGATCCGGATGATTATGGTGGCATCAACGCTATCAGAGTGCCGTCTGAGTCGATTTGGCTCCCTGATATTGTATTATATGAAAAGTAGGTATTCAGGAATCAATTCTGACAAGCAGAAAAACTGATAAATCTATTCAACACATTTGTGATGTCTTAAGACAAGAGATGAAAGGCTTAAAATGTACTGAAACATCTTGGGTATTCATTTATATGCCAGGTTATACCAATGTTCAAAGCCTGATTCAAAACTTATCTCCTTGACTGTGCCTTTGAGTTATTTTTGTTTGTTTCATGACTGTTTGTGGGACATTGCTGTGTGTAATTGGACTGCCACATTTGCCCACAAATACACAGTAAATTCTATGAAACATTTTGGGATATCCTACCAACGTGAAAGGCACTGTAGAAATATAAATTGTATTATTGTATTGTTGGGTAAGCAGACACCTGAACTATCTCATTGTCTTAGCCTTAAGACCAATGGTCTTAAAAATTAAAATCATGTATTGGTTAGAGCACTCACCTCACAAGCAAAAGGACTTGGGTTCAATTCATGCATGAAGCAAAACCTTGGGCAAGTTTCCTTACTCCCTGCACCAGGCTCCAATGGCTCCCCATCTCCCAGAGGATAGAATTCAAAATCCTTGTCCTCACCTTCAAAACCCTCCACGGCCTTGCTCCATTTTATCTCTGTGACCTGCTGACGGCATATCAACCTGTCTACTCCCTCCACTCAGCAGGATACAGCCTGTTTCATGTCCCCTGCCTGGCCCACCCCACCTTTGGCGGTCGGACCTTCAGCTTTGCTGTCCCCACCCTTTGGAACTCCATCCTGCAGTCTCTCCGGCTTCCCTGAAATCCAGGGTTGTTTCCAAGCCCACCCTGGTACAACAGTCATCTCCACTCACTCAAACACAAATCTGGATGCTCGAGCGCAGAAATCCAGCCTCAAGATTCATTGCCAGCTGTAGCCCGAGCACTTCCCTTTCACAGGCCAAAACTGACTTTTATTTCAAAGCCATCCTGGAGGCAAACAACAATCCAAAGATGTTGTTTTCCACCGTCCATCACGTCCTCCGTGCACCCCATCAAGCCCCTTCTATCCTCACGTCAAACACCAAGTACAAAGAGGTCCTAGACTTCTTTGTCTCAAAGATTGAAAACATCCGCTTGGCTGTATCCTCCTCTCCCATGTCCCCTTCCACCCACCCAGACCAACACCACGGCTCCTGCCATTCCCCCTCCTTAAACTCCTTTGCCCCCATTTTTTCCTCCTCCCTCTCAATCACAATCACCCAGATGAAGTTCACCACCTGCTGCCTCGGTCCCCTTGCAACCCAGCTGCTGGTCACTCAACTCCCCCTCCTCTACCCCCTGCTGGGCAACATGATCAACCAATCTCTCTCCTCAGTCTCTGTTCAACTCCCCTGTCATCACACACCTCCTCAAAAAAAACATCCTCCATCCCTTTAATCTCTCACACTACCATCCCATCTCCAACCTACCCTTCTTTGCCAAAGTCCTGGAACTCATTGTTGCAGGTCACCTTCGGTCACACCTCTCCCTCCACTCCCTCCTCGAGCCCCTGCTGTCTGGTTTTCACACTGCCCACAGCACAGAGACAGCGCTTGTCAAAGTCACAAACAATGTCCTCTCTGTTTGTGACCTGGGGTCCCTCTGCCTCCTTGTCCTCGTGGATCTCTCTGCCACGTTCGACACAGTCGACCACGCCATCCTCCTCCACCACCTCTCCTCCTCATCCACATTAGTAGGACCACAATCACGTGGTTCGAGTCCTACTTAACCAACCGCCTCCACCTTAGCAAATGTTTTTTCCTCCCACCCCTACCCGGTCACCTGCGGGGTACTCCAGGGCTCCATTCTTGACCCCCTTCTTTTCCTTGTCTATATGCTCCCTCTTGGCAATGTCATCCGCAGACGTGGAGTAAACTTCCTATAGTATGCAGATAACACATAAATCTACTTTGTCTCCTCCAGTACCAACTCCAGGTCCGCCAATGTTCTATCAGCTTGTCTGGCAGACATCAGAGCCTGGATGAGTGCAACCTTCCTGCAGCTGAATGTGGACAAGACAGAAATCATACTCCTCCCGTCAATGTCTTCACTTCTGCAGATCCAAACTTCTCAACCTACTTGGGTTCTCCCTCAGACTCACTGAACCAGTGCACAATCTAGGCCTTTGGTTCAATACGCAGCTGTCCTTCCTCCTCCACATCCAGTCCCTGACCAGGACCACAATCTTCCGTCTCCACCACATTGCCAGCCTCCAATCATACCTTACCCCAAATGCAGGCAAAACCCTTGTTTGTCACTTCCGCCTGGATTACGCAAACGCTCTCCTCGCCGGTCTCGCCAGTTCCACTACTAAAAAGATCCAGCTAATTCAGAACTCTGCCACCACATACATAACTTAACTGGACCAAACTCTGAACGCACATCTCACCAGTTCTGGTCAGGCTCCACTGCCTCCCCATCACTGAACGGATCGACTTCAAGATCCTCACACTCGTGTTCAAATCCCTTCAATCTCTGGCACCTCCCTACCTCTCCGCTCTCCTCACTCCCCAATCCACCACCTGGTGTCTCGGCTCAACTGACACTGGCTTCCTGCTTGTCCCTCGCACCCTCTGTCCCACCATCGGAGATCGTGCTTTCAAACACTATGCCCTGAAATTGTGGAACACTCTCCCTCATTCTCTGTGCTTTGCCCCCTCTCTCCTCTTTTTCAAATCCCGCCTGATAACCTTCCTTTCGACCTTGCATATGGTCACCACCTCCCCACCCCCAGCTTGAGCTCCACCATTGTTAAGCGCTCCGTGAGGCTACCCTGCATGGAGGGCGCTATATAAGTGCAAGTTGTTGGTGCAAGGCATGTCTCAAAACCCTCCTCTTTAACCATGCCTTTGGCCACCCTCCTGTCCCTGCCCTCCACACCTCCCTGATCCCAACCCCCAGCTCGGGTCCAAATCCCTTACTGTCCAGCACCTTGGGATGTCCTCTTGACTTGAAAGGTGCTATGCAAATCTAATGTGTTGCTGTTGTCACACCTAATGCAGCTGAAATCCTCATTCATCATTTCAGACCTCAGTTTTTTCAATACCTTCCTTGCCAGTCTCCACAGCTCCACCACCCACAAAATCCTACTCATTCAAATCTCCGTTGCTATCTTGGAAACAGTCTTTCTTTATGCAGGAAGCAATTAACACCTTGGGTGTGTTGCCAGGAAGCGTGGTTGAGGCCAGGCTCATTTTTTAAAAAAACGCGCTGTGCTATGATGGGAGGACCATTGGGTGGGTGTTCTGAAGGGATGAGATCAGATGGGTCAAAGGGCTTTTTTATCCCAACTTGTGATCTTGTGAAACGTCAGCAAAGTATTTCTGCTCCTGCTACTTGAAGAGAAAATTGTTTGTGGTTTATGTGAGGTCTGAAAGTATGGTAGTTGCTTCAAGAATACTTTGAATCGAAATGTTTGGTAACATCAGACTGTGCGAACTGTGTGGTATGGTTATACTGTAATGCAAGGTATAGAGATTGACAGATTCCGGAGACTGACATAATCTCTGTCAGTACCAATGTCAGGATTGATGTGGCAGAAAGGAAAATAAGATAAGTAGTACAACACCCACTCAGATTGCTTAGCAATAGTTCTGACGTCGCTCAGTGGGATATTTGACAGCAGCATATGTTTCTTTCCATTTATGTCAAAAATGATTCCCACTGTTCATACTGAGCTGACACACAAAGTACATTGTTCAGGTAGCATACTATTCAGTTGAACCAAATCGCTTCTTGTCTGGTAACCTTTTATTGATTCGATGATGAATGTTTGCAGGAATCTACCATACGTGGTAAGAAAGGCAAAAATACTGAGATTATTCAAAATACAATTGAATGTTATGATGGTAGAGTTACTGGGAGATGAGAGATGCCGAGTTTCACTTCAAAGCAAGTAGTTTGCAGGAAGAAGGGATGAGTGAAGGAAGTAAGGAGTTCCGCAAACCCTTGTTCGATATTATTGTATGGCAGATAGGCTCAAAACTACACTAAACAACAACAATGTGCATTTATATAGCGCTCTTCACGCAGGGTAGCATCTCAAAGACTGAGTGTTAAAGTGATTAAAATTACAAGTGACATTAAGGAGAGGGCAACCTTCAAATCAAATAATCACTGGCAAATGAAATTCAATACAGATAATTACCATGCACTGCATATAAGAACAACAACAACAGAATTACATTTGTATCGTGCCTTTTACATCAGGAAGACGTCCCAAGTAAGAAGTAAGAATAGGAGGCACAGGCAATGGATGAGCTCCACCTTGCCAGTAGGAGCAAGCAATAAAACAAGGCAAACAGGAAGCTGGATTACATTTCCAAATCAGTTGAGCTCAGAACCTCAGAACTCATAAGCAAGCTTTTCCGTACTCAAGCCAGGCCTCACCTGGACTATTGCTCACAGTACTGGCTAGCACAGTTTAAGAAGACTTGCCAGCGGCAGTGCAGAGCAGAGCAACAATATAAGAAGGATGAACTGTGAGAAAAGAATAATCTTAGACCCTTAAGTATTGAAAAGATGCACCTAGAAGGGACTGCTGGGAAATATAGAATAATAATCATTGTACCTACAAATTAGGATTGGAAAAGTAAATCCAGAAAAATACGCTCAGATAAACAAATTCAGCAGGACAAGAAGACACAAATTCAAGGTTATCAACAATAACAACAACTTGCACTTATATAGCACCCTCCACACAGGGTAGCATCTCAGAGTGCTTAACAGTGGTGGAGCCTGACTCCTAGCCGGGTGGGGTTGGGTGGGTTAGGTGACTGTCTTGCAACGAAAAGGAAAGGTATCAGGCAGGATTTGAAAAAGGGGAGGGGGCAAAGCGCAAGAATTGAGAGAGTATTCCAGAGTTTCGGGGCATAGTGGCTGAAAGCATGACCTCCAATGGTGGAGTGGATGGTGCAAGGGGCAAGTAGGAGGCCGGTGCCAGTTGAGCGGAGGCGCCAGGTGGTGGATTGGGGATTGAGGAGGTCGGAAGTGAAGGGATTTGAACACGAGTGTGAGAATCTTGGAAGTCGATCCATTCGGTGATGGGGAGCCAGTGAAGCCTGGTCAGAACTAATGAGATGGGGGAAAGGAGTTTGGTATGCGGGCGGTAGAGTTCTGAATTAACTGGATTTTTTGTTTAGTGGAGCTAGGAAGATAGGCGAGGAATGTGTTTTAAGTAATCCAGGCGAGAGGTGATAAACACATGCACGAGGGTTTCGGCTGCATTTGGGGTAAGGTACGGTCGGAGGTGGGCAAAATACACCAATTCAGCACGACAGAAGGGCACAAATTCAAGGTTACAAAGTGTAGACAGACATCAGGAAGTATTTCTTTACTCAGAGGGTAATTAACGACTGGAACAGAAACTAGGAGGAATGGTTGAAGCCAGCACCCCATTCAGAAACAGCTTGAAGACTTTACAATGGATATTCTGGAAGCATAAGATGAAATGACCAGAAAGTCATTTTTCATCCATTCCTCCCTTGTGACTTTGTGTATTGTAGAAAGGTACAGAGTTGATTGATCCGTTGTGTAGAAATATGCAAACGCTGAAATATTTCCTCTCTATCTTCTTATATTTCTCCGTTTTCTTGTCTTGCTCTTCAGTGCAGATGGACGGTTTGAAGGCTCCTTAATGACAAAAGCAATTGTGAAGCATAATGGTGCAGTGAAATGGACACCCCCAGCAAGTTACAAAAGCTCCTGTACAATAGACGTCACTTTTTTCCCGTTTGACAGACAGAACTGCTCAATGAAATTTGGGTCCTGGACCTATGATGGCAGCTTGGTCGACCTCATTTTGGTAGATGAGAATGTGGACCGAAAGGACTTTTTTGACAATGGAGAATGGGAGATTTTAAATGCCACGGGAATGAAAGGGACCAGAAGCGATGACTGTTATGTATACCCTTTTATCACATATTATTTTGTACTGAGGCGTTTGCCCCTGTTCTACACATTGTTTCTGATCGTTCCTTGTCTTGGGCTATCTTTTCTCACTGTACTCGTATTCTACTCACCCTCAGATGAAGGGGAGAAGCTGTCCCTGTCCACTTCGGTTCTGGTCTCCCTGACTGTCTTCCTTTTACTCATTGAAGAGATCATCCCATCTTCCTCCAAAGTGATCCCTTTGATTGGGGAATATTTACTGTTTATTATGATTTTCGTGACTCTCTCGATCATTGTCACTGTCTTTGTGATAAACGTTCACCATCGCACCTCAGCAACCTACCACCCCATGGCCCCGTGGGTCAAAAGGTTGTTCCTTCAGAGGCTCCCCAAACTCCTGTGCATGAGGGGCCACACCGATCGCTACCACTGCTCGGAAAGCAATATGGACAGCCCAAAATCGAGGCAGAAGGCCGCTGAGAAACGGAGACGGAGTTCAGCAAAGGATGACGAAAATGCAGCCGTGGTAGCTATCTTAGAGAGGGCTGCTGAATCTGTGAGATACATCTCGGGCCATATAAAGAAAGAGCATTCTATCAGAGAGGTAATGAGAGAATGAAATATGCAACAATAACAACTTGCATCCTTTGCATAGGATAGTGTCTCAAGAGTGCGGCACAATGATGGTGGTTAAACGCCAAGCAAGGGAGAAGGGAAGGGGATCATAGGTGCGATCGAAGAGGTAGGTTATTAGGCGGGATTTGAAGATGCATAGAGAGGAGACGAGATAGAGGGGCAGAAGGAAGAGATAGAGCAAGCCTATCAATACAATTCAGTTCGGCTGTAAAACTTGATACAATAGCAGAATAATGCATAGCATATGTTGCATCTTCATCTCAGTTTTGTAAAGTTTTCTAGATATTGAGATGCGACTTATATAGCAACACAACCTGTCAGAGGGAATCTGAACTATAATGCTGTCTAGAATACTAGGTGGGTGTGAGGTATTGCATTTTGGGAATGTGTTTTGGATAACATCAAAATCAGCGACTAATGTATTCATGAAATAGCTCCTGTGTGAATACAAGGGGAACCAACAAGAGTTAAAAAGTGGTTTCCTCTAAGTGGTCTACAATGTATCTATTGCTAACCTATCTGAATCTCAACCAATCTATACATTACTTATTCACTTACTCTGCCATTACACCTTCATACATCTAGTCATCTATTCATTACCCCATTCATTCTATGTTTCTATATCTCTCTCTTTACTCATCACCAGGGTCAATAGAAAATTGTGCAAATATTTGCCAAAAAGAGCGGGGAAATTTGACAAATTTTGCGGAGAATTGTGGGGGTTGATAGGTGTCTTTTAGGTATATTTTACTGCCAACCTACAGCACAGGCCATTAGGGATGAATGGTCCGTCTCCACGCCACACTACATTTCAAGGCCTGGAGATCCACTAAACACAAGCATTGCTCCCTCCTGACTGTAGAGCTCCAGGAGATCACCACCTCCTGCCTCTTGGGAGCCACCACCGCACACACACACACACACACACACAGAGCCACAGACTCAAACACACAGACAAACATACATAGGCAGAGAGACACACACGCGCACACACACAGACAAACATACATAGACAGAGAGACACACATACACAGAGACACACACACGCACACAGACATAGAGAGACACACGCACACACAGACACACACTCATAGACATAGAGAAACACACACTCACGTACATACAAAGGAAAGAGAGATACACAGACAATCTCAACAGCGGGACTTCGGGGTGAGCAAAACCTATTTCGCGCTCACACTTCGCACGCAGGTCCAGAACCTCTCCACCCACAGGAGCGTCGTCGTGCAAACAGCCAGCAGCAGCCGCAGAGGCCCAGGGCGAGGAAACTTTATTTTTTTACAGGTTTTTAGTGGAGGGTGTCGTTTTTAGTGGATGAGGTGGAAAAATCGCGACTGCACTTATCTATTGGCCCAGCTCACCACTCTCCCTTTGCATTCTTGCCCTCAACACCAATTCATTCATCTACTGATCTGTTCATCTGCTCACCTCTATAACCTGTCATTGCTTGCTGTCTTCCTATCTGTCTTTTGTTTCCATTTCAAGTTTCGTACAAATCAAATCATTGGATTAAGTTTTGTTTTAACAATTTCTCTCTCTATCCAGGTTGTGGAAGACTGGAAGTTTGTAGCCCAGGTTCTGGATCGGATTTTCTTATGGCTCTTTTTGCTGGTGGCTATTCTAGGATCGGCAATGATCTTTGCTCCATCACTTCGAATGTGGTCGAGTATTATAATAAAACCCAATGAAAATGATCACAATTAATCTCAAAATGTGGCTCATACATGTTTTTGGAGCTGGTTTGCAAATACGTCACTTGCTATTAGATTGAATTCTATTTTATAGAAGAAAGATGCTTTGCCAAGTATCATTTGGGAGCCAAGGCAGCACTTCGAATGTGGTTGAGTATTATAATAAAACCCAATGAAAATGATCACAATTAATCTCGGAATATGGCTCATAGATGTTTTTGGAACTGCTCTGCGAATATGTCTCTTGCTATTAGATTTAACTCTATTTTATAGAAAGAAGATGCTTTGCCAAGTATCATTTGGGAGTCAAGTCAGCACACTTAAATTCATACTTACTGCACCTATTTATGTACATTTTAATCTTAATGTGCAGATTTAATTTTGAATCAAATACCGGCATGTAAAAGCATGGAATATGTACTGCACTGCAAATTCCGAACAGTTTGTGTTCTGTGTAATGCTTGTTTATACATGAATTTGATGCCATTTAATTGCATTGCTATCTTTTCGATGATTAGTGACTTATGCAACAACTGAAAAAGCAGAGGGTAGATCAGAGGATGATAATTGGACACTAATGTGATTTTCCTGGAATTGAGACACATACACATTTGTTTCATGAACCTCATGAATATATTTCAACAAAGAAACAATAAGGTATCAAAATTTTTTGCAGGAACAGAATTTTGTATGGCTTTATATTAAAAATGCCAACAGAGCTTCAACGACACATGGAAGGATTGCTGAGTAAAGATGCCTAATTTGCTCACTGTATCAGTTGTCCATGAATAATGGTTAATATATTGGAAGAACTGCAGTAAAATTAAACTGGCAATGTCTCAGTTTTACATTATCACTCTGTGTGGTAGTTCTCAACCAGCTCGTGACAATCACAATACTGTGTTATTATTGTTTATCGCTTACATATCAGTGCACCATTAGGAGAATGACAATGGGAGGAACATCAGGTCTATTTTTATTCTTCACCTACCTGTTGTTACTGTTCTTCCCCTTCCACTGCAGGAAAGGTCCAATTGCAGGTTGAAGGTTCAGGGAGTAATGTCTCTGCACGCATACAGTAGTTACACTGTGTAGTATGTTTTAATGTTGGTGTGTAGCTATACTCAACACATTTGCATGAACCTTTGAACATTGCCCCCAAACCTTTGAACTCCACTACTTTGTACAGCAATGTGCTTCTGCACAATAAACAATCCTCTTTAACATACTCAAGTCTGTCTGCTGTTTTCTCCTCACAACATAACCAGTCTGGGGATCAGCGTTTTTTTTTAAAGGGATCCTTGCAAGTTCATAATATTTTGTGCACCACAATGAACAAATGAAATGCATCAAAACTTAATCACGCTACAGTGAGCTCCAACTTATATCTCTAACGAATGAGTAAAAGGCAAGGTTAGGAGATTCTTTTGACAAGGTGTTCAGATATTGAATGCTTTTCCCCAGAGCCATTGGGTAAGGCAGATCATATTAGCTTTTAAGAAGGGCTTAGGTAAATATCTGAAAAGGAGGAATATAAAGCTGCTTGGGGCGAGAAAGCAGGAAATTGGATCTAACAGATTGCTCTTTCAGAAATTCAGCACAGGTACAATGGTCCAGATGCCCTTCTGTGCTCTAAATAAAAGTAGAAAGTTAAGGAACTCTGCTTGCTCTCATCCAATATCTACCTTTGTTTCACTAACCTGGTGCACCCCATTATAAACATGACATAAAAACATAAACATAAAAACAACCTTGTAGACATGTCATTGCTTCTGAGAAGAAGACATTCACATTCATAGTTGGCATCATGCTTTGCCTAGTAATGAAATAAAAGTCAGTTTGGAAGGATAACTGATTTTATTTCTTTTTTTGCAACAACATGATTTGAGTGTGACAATGTGTTAGCTGTAGCACAATTTCCCAATGATTTAAACATTAGGCCAAATTGCCTTCTTGTCTCTAAAAAAAATTCTATTTGATCATACTTTATAAACTCAAATAACTGATGGCTGCACTCACACACGTATGCAACCACGCATGCACTCACACATTGCATGTATTCTCATACTCACATGACTAAAGGGCAGCTTGTTAATAAATGCTGTTTCAATTGCTTGCGTGATTTCAACTATCCAAGCAACAAAATAGGTTAACGTTCGCAATTTAAGCATTATTTCAATTAGTTTACACTCGCAAAACTACCATGGGTAAGGTGGTGGCTCACAAGTATTGTAAGTGGATTCCCCCTCCTTCAAAGCTGAATCAAAGGTTTAAATGTTGAAGTGTTATTAATAATCTTTGTATTTGATATAGCGCCTTATCATGTCATTCAAACGTCGAATCGCTTCACAGAATGTATGTAAAGTGAATTGATTGTAAATGTTGAGCATGACCTGTCAGACATCAAGTCCTGGATGAGAGCTAACTTTCTTCAGTTGAACATCAACAAGACCGAGGCTCTCCTGATTGGTTCCCGTCAGCGCCTCCTCACCTCATGCGCTGACACCATCACCGTCCATGGATACACACTCCACCTCACTGAGCCAGTCCGGAACCTTGGGGTCTTGTTTGACCCTCAACTATCCTTTCTACCCCACATCTGTGCCATGACCCGCTCTGCCTTCCCCAACTTACGCAACATGGCCCATCTCCACCACTGTCTCACACCGCAGGTGGCCAAAACCCTTGCTTGTCAGCCTCCCCAACTCCTCCTTCTGTAAGCTGCAGATCAGGATTGAATGCTACTTGGATTCTAATTCAAATCCAGTGAAGAAACAAGTATTAGCTATGCAACTCTGGTCAGCAATTAACTGGAAGCTGGCCTCTGGCCATGGACGCTGTGTGCTCACACATAACTTTTCCTGACTAAAAGCTACAGCCACCTCGTTGCTCATTTCAAGCAGTTATTTGTGAGAAAGAATTGACAGAGAGAGAGACCTTGCAGAAGTTGATTTGCAGCCTGTGTGTTGTTCATCCTTGAGAAAGAAGAATGTTATTTTACAAGGCACATCTGGCTCCTAGAGGCAGGGTGAGCGAGGGGCTTTTGATAAGAGGATTTAAAAACATTGATGCTTGATGAGGTCTGAAAAAATGTAAAAGGGTTCACCTTCAAGTACAACGGGTAAAGCAGAGATAACTGGCCATGCGTGCTTTGTGTGAGAAAAACAAGACCTGGTCAGGGACTGGTATGCGAATATACTATAAAAATAGCAAACCTAACACATCAGTAGGAGAGCAAGACACCACCATTGTCTAATAAAGATCATCTGTCAACATGTGATCGACGCCTGCTAAGTGCTTACAATCTCTCCAGAGGAAGGACATGATCACCCTTGAATCCATACTATATGTCTTGGTTGTATGTATAGTGTAACTGCTCGAAACTGTCACTTTGATTGAATAAAGTGCTAATATTAATTTGAAAATTCTGCTTGTCATTCTCGCTGTATTACATTGTAAGGAACCCAAAACTTACAACAGTCTCTGAATGTTGCTTTGTTGGTTATTTGACAACAATTTAGAGTAAATTAGAAGATAATGCTTTTGGATTATATCTGCTTTCTGTGAAAGCTTAAAACAATGATAAATGTAATATGCCCTCCAGGGATACATTGCTGAATTGCAGCTGATTTTTATTTCCATTTTGAAACTTCTTTATCCAGGGTTAGTGTTAAAATGAGTTCTGCTGCATTTGTTCATAAGTTTCCTCTGTTTTTTTTCCAGATAGGTAGAATATTCACAGCACAGAAGGAAACCTATTAAGCACATTGTGCCTGTTATGGCTCTTTGAAAGAGCTATTCAATGTAACCCACTCTCTGACCTTTTTCCATCCCCATATATTTTTGTTCCTTTTAAAACGTTATTATGGATTCAACTTCAACCATTATTTTTGGTAGGCATTAATAACCCTCTATATAACCCAAATTCTCCTGAATGTTTTCTTGTTGTTTGTAACAATTTTAAATGTATTTAAAATTTCGATTTATGACCGGCAATTGCCACAATGATCAGTTTTGGTTATTTCAAACCTTTTGCTTAAATATGAACTCCCATATGTTTGCAATGCTGAGAAACACACATCCCTGCCCAATACAATATTATAAAATGTTGTTGCAATATCTTGTAACATGTACATATTTGCACAATCAAACAATAAATTACAGGGAGTGTATTAAAGAAGCTAACTAATCTGCATAATTATCACGTCTGTTTTTGAGCTGAACCACTTACTGTAGCATAATTTTGGCACTCATCTTGAAAATACATTCTTTTATTATATGTTTGGAGTGCATTATTTTGTTGAGGGCGTGCATCGGATCATCCAGAACTAAAAGGAGTGAGACATGAACACCTTCCTACAAGGAACTTAGAATTAAAGGAAGCTGCTTCACAATGGGCCAATGAAAACTGATTTGAATTGGTTCTGGCAGAAGGGTCATTTCATATTATCATTTAGAAGAGCTTTTGCTTATAAAAGAAGAACAACAATTTTAACTTTTTATAGCACCTTTTATGTTGGGAGGACATCTCAAAGAGCTTCACAAAGCCAAAAAATACTTTACCAGATGGAGAATATTAGCCCATTGTTATACTTTCAGATTTGGCAAGAAATCGATTCAGGATTGTGAAGGGCAATTTTAGGACAGCCAGCAGCAAATATTAATTTTATGCATATGACAGCTAATGGCTGAAATGGATTACCAGGATGGATGTTTGAAGCTGGGCTAATTTAAGAGCTTTGAAGCATTGTTTTACATGAAATGCACTGAATGGGGGACAAAAAGCTGGGTGGGGGTGTTGCAGATGGTGGGGCCGGGAAGTTGACCAAGAGTGTGGACAAGAAGGAAGATCTTGACATTGGATCTTGAAGGAAACTAGGGAAGGGGCATGTTGAAGGATTCCAGGATAGAGTTCCAGAAAGTGGGGGCAGGGAGTCTGGTCTGAAGGCTGAAGGTCCGAACGCAGAAGATCTCATCCAAAGGATGGCACCTCCACCAATGCAACAACAACAACTTGCAGTTCTACAGCGCCTTTCACACAAGGTAGTGTCCTGCAGAGCTCACCCAGCATTGCAATGGAATGTCAGCTTAAATGATATGAGTTTCAAATTCTAACATGGGTTTTGAACTCACAACTTTATGACTCTGAGGCAAGAGTGCAATCAACTGAGGCAGCCTGACACAAAAAGGTGCTCATATTAGCAGGGAATGCTCTTCTGAAAACATGACTGCTGTCTGCCCTCGGCTGATATATGGCCATCCTGTTTTTTATCTAGTATTGGCACTCAAGATCTAGCAAAGATTGATGTTGTCGCTAGTTGAACCAATATCTTCAGTTCTCCAGCTCTATCATCCCTCAACTTGATGAGTATGCAATATGCACAGCTATATATTAATTAATGACTGTCAGTGGCAAAGGCACAGCATTAAATCCATTGTTATGATGTAGCAATAATCATTCAAGCGAAGAGACAAACGTGGAAGTAATTTAACAATGGAGGTTTATTTGATGTGCTTTTCTCTTTGCTTCCGTTAGAGAAGACCTGAGGGTAATTATTTGGCAGTGACTGATAAAGGGAAACATCTCTCTTAAATGAAGCTGAACTTCATTACTAAAGATCCCTGTGTTCAACACTGCAAATAATCAGGAGTCCATGAATAGTTAATATGTTCTCAAGTCAATGCTCTGTGAGTGCTAAGCTGGATAGCATTATGATGAAGACAGTCAGTCAGAACCACCCGTTGATAGCGATAATTAGAGATCGCTTTTACAAAGCTAACCTGCTAACTGAAATGACTGGCAAGTGCAATA